TCCACCGGGCACGAGCAAGCGAGGTCAGGTCAAACCTCTAAAATATGATGCTCTGCCGTTATTCCCAACCTCCGATCATCGCGCGGTCGCCTTGGCCGTTTCTATCCCGGCGCAGTCCGTGCTTCCAGAAGATACCACGCAAATGGGTGTCCCTTTCCCGATCGATCCAGAATGGGAGACTAAACGAGATGCAGCGCGACGAAAGGAACTTGCGGTGGGCTTTTTGGCGTACCTAGCCTTGACCTGGGAGGGAAACGGCCTGTTACTTGCATCGGCGGTAGGACTTCTGGGGGCGTGGCTCGTGCTCCAATCGTTCTTTAACGTTTGAAGATGCGTTGCAGACCTGCAGCTCTGCGGAGTTTTCCTGAAACTGTGGCCCATGTGGATCATCCCGATCTCCCGTAGCAGATGCAAAGTCAATACGAACGGGTGATTTTCCTAGATCTCATGGGCTATTTCGGATTTCACCATCAAACGATGATAACATTTTGACCGCCGGTGAATAATCGTTTCAAGGTCGTTCGGCGCAGCATAACTCACATCCTCGTCCATCTGAGACGGCGGCACTGCATTCACGGCGACATCGTATTGGATCCATACCTGCAGTGGGACCCAGCAAGCTATAACATTGGATTTGCCTCTGCACCGGGTCAGCTGACTGGGAGCCGAATCTAGAACGGTCGGGAACAATGCCAATGAAGACGGAAAGAGGAAGGACCGGCACGGATGAAGAGGCTCAAAGCAGATCGACAATCTAGACACCAAATTTCTTCCCAAGGAGTAAAGGATTCCTGGGCGGGGGTTGGTGATTAGTTGCAAGGTGTACAAGCCACACTGTGTGCTTCCGCTGCTCTGGGCTTCCGTTCTAGGATTCCCAAATTCCAGCCGGCGACACAACCTAGTAGTGCCCGGAGACGATGGAGCCGTTACAGAAGAAAGTTTGGCCCCGGTTAGATCGGGACACTGACCGTCTGACGGGCTTGGTCGTATCTAGCCTTGCGACCCAGTCAGTGGGTATGGATTCCTTCCAGATGGGCATCCAGACTCGTCTACTAGTTAGTCGATGGCTTGCCGTTTGCCGTCCAAGCAAAGTGGGAGTAATTGCACGGTTGGTCGATCCTCAAGGGCCAAGCTGAAGACCTGCTTCGGTTATATAGGATAGATTGATTGCTGAATAGATAGATAAAATATCTAATACATAATATTTAATTAGAAGGGCGGGTTTTGTTGCAGAGCGGGCCAGTCCCGAGGTAATTAAGAAACAAGGGCAGAAAGGCAAAATAGCTAATGAGAGGGACGGACGGGCTGCCCGCTCCATGGAAGCGAAGCAAGTGAGACCACCAAAAACGACGCTAAAGAAAGGGTTTTTCATCGTGCAGCTGAACTACTCGTGTCTAGTAGTCAATGGTGGTAAGAGATGGATGCATTTCTGAGTTGTTGGAGGAAGAGAGGGTCCGCTCTTTTTGCTCACTGGTGAAACCAATTAGTAACCGACGCACACCGTCGTCCGACCGGATTCGGTTACAGCGGCTTGGTAGTGGTCGTCAGTCTGGTGATGATGAAAGATGGTGACGATGCTGGTTTTTCTTTAATATACGCTTGATATTAATCTACGCTGCAAGGTTTAATCTATGGAAAGGGTGGTAATTTGCTGCTCATTAATGGGGATTAATGGACGGTAATTTGCTGCTGGAGATGTCCACACTGAGTTATCATACGGTGCGTATAAGTGGTCTGGGTCTGTAATAACTGATAATTAAGTAATTGATTCATATCTATAATATAGAAATCAAACAAATTATCACAGGCTTCGCCAAGACTCTGCTTCGGCCCTCTCCAACTATCTTGTGATTGTGTGAGAGATCGGATTGGTCTTACTTGCCGGATGGTGGCAGGAAGAACACATGCAAGTGCACACCGGGTCATGGAATTATTGATTAGTAGTCAGTAGTAGCCTGTATATTATTGCGGTCAACGGAGTTGAGGGTAGTCCGTCAAGACCGGCTAGTCCTACCGAGTACACAAAAATGAGGCAGTGGTAGAGCATCAATGAGTCGTCCCCAATAAATCCGCTTCAGAAGCGGGATTAGGCAGAATGGAAAGAGAGTAATAACACCCAACTTGGAACTATAGAATGCAATTCAGAACAACTTTCTAGTACCTACTAAATATCACAGTGTAGTAAAGTAGAGATAACCAATGCGACCATCCGTGTAGCCTACAGGCACATGATCCTTTGGAGGTCAAGTGACCACCATAGATCAAGTTTCCCGATGCTTCCATTTCCCCTCCTCATACTACTATCCCCCCCTCCTCTTACTTTCCGCATCTTGATCGATGGATGCTGTGCTCAGCCATACATCACCAGCCTTCGGCCGTACCGCACAATGACGGTCCAGGTCTGGACCCTCCGGCCCGGGATGTCTGCTGGATCGGCCCTGGAACAGAACTCTCTGGCGCTCGTTGTGATTACCTACTACTGTCAGGTTCGCTGAAACCGATGGCTGGGCACGGCATTTCTGTGCAGGCGGACCAATTGCGGAAGCCTGGAAGAACCCAGGCTCACCTGACAGGATTTATTTCCCTTGGGTCTGTCGGCTTCAACCTGTCCACTACTGGATTAAGCAGCACATGCTGGACGGATCCTGACCCCGATGGCCATGAACAAGGCTGAATTGCGGATCGTATTCCTTTTGCACTGGACTGAACTGAACTGAATTGGCTGGCTGCTTCTGAGACACAATCATACCCTGCCCCTCCTCTCTCAGGCTCAGCTAGGCTGTGGGAAAGCTAGGCTTTACGGATTTACCGTCCACGGCTTTGCGGCAGGCATCAATCAGGCCTCCCCCCACTTTTGCCAACCCAGCGGTGCGGAACCTAGTGACTCCCACTTGACTCTTACCGAGACTACTCCCTTTTAAACTAAAGAAAGAAAAAGAAAAGAAAAAGAAAAATTAAAAGGCCCGAATAAGAGAGGCGAACAGGCAGAATGTATTGGAAAAGCAATAATGATCACCACAAAACAAGGCAATTGAGGGGTGATCAACAGAGGTAACACAACGGAAGACAAGGATGCGCAACCAGGGAAGACGCGGAGGACCGTTCGGTGTCATCCAGACTCTACTCAGGTTGTCTTCTGACTCACCCGATTGAAGTAACAATGAATGCCATGGATCAAGGCAATGCCAGGGTGAGGACAAAGACCAGACAGTAAAACCGCCCTTTCATTGGTCACTTCACCCGTGTCTTCCGACAGCTGACTGCGCACTAAAGAGGGCAAAAGGGGTGAGACTGTGAGAAGAGGGGGCCAACTCCGAAAGGGGCAAAGGGGGAGAGAAGGGAAACTGTGAGAGAAAAGGAGAAGAAGCTCAGTCGACGTTCCAGAAACTGTGGAAACTTTCTTGGTGCGACGGTTCGGGCCCAAGATCCAGACTCTGCTGCTACGGCTCTATTACCCTCATCTATTCGAAACTCCATGGGCTGCTACGATGCCGGCTGTTGGTACCAGTGGGTCCCCCATTTATTATCTGCTTCTCTATCTTAAGCGACCAGGTCGACAACACCAGCTGCATTGCGATGCATGGTTGAGTCGTGAAAATCACTTTTTTGACAGGGCCCACGCCGCCCTGCAATCAAGTCATCCATCCTCCACTCACCCAGGGGCCAAAACTGCGAGTCATATGGGCGATCAGGTTGTTACATGGGGGCAGACTGTATGGTAGGTTCGGGAACAACAAGAAAAAAAAAAGAAAAAAGAAAAAAAAAAAATTTTCCCTTTCCCCTTCGCTCTTTTGCCCCCTCCCTTTTTCCCCATTCCGGATCACCTTCGAACAGCCAGGCGGGAAACACAAGAGTCCACTGTTGGGCATTCGAAGAACCAATGGCCCGTTGGGAGTCCATCAACATCACAGGGAGCAAAATAATTTATGCCAAGGCCAGCAGTCGGTGATGCCCAGGATAGCAAGCGAAGGCGGCCCTTGTGGTACACTCAAATTACGAATGCTGAGATAGATGATGGTGAGTCCCGGCGTTTATGATTTGTTTACTAGTATCCTAGTATCCATCATCGCCACCATTGTCACCAGCACCACAAGGTAGTAATCATTGACCATACACAGTCGGGTATCTGGACAAAGTCTGGTTCCAATTCGAGGGCTGCATCAGAACAATATACACACGGGCTCCATCTTGCCCCGTCCCGTGGCCCGTTGGATGCCATGGTACCCCAAAATTAATATTTGTTTTTGCCTATTACGACCATTTGCATAGCTTGCTTTATATTATTTGACATTTTTTTTTCTCTTTCCGAATTTATTGTCACTAATACTCGCCCGTTCTTCGACGACCCTTTACCCCGATCTTCCTGGAAGCCGTTTCGCATAGATCTCCATTACTGATATAAATCTGAGATCCCTCAAATTTACCTCCTTTTCCTCTTAGGTCTCCTCGACGTTCCATCCCATTTTCCCTCCGTGTGATAATTGACCGTTGATCGATCGATTTATCTGCCCTGCACTCCTTTTGTCACTCATTCCTTTTTGCTAGTCAACTGCTGCACGCTCTTGCACTTTTGTGTCTCTCTTCGCCCCATCCACCACCCACTTTAGTGGCGCAGCCTAACCTCAGCGCTAGAACCTCAACGGACCCCGGCCGGTGCGCCTAAATACGCTTCCTTTTTTTCGCTCCCCTTGCTGGTGCCGCTGCAAGACAACGGCCTTGCGATCTTGACGTAATTGCCCCGTGGCTTGCGATTGGGGCTATTTTGAATTTTTTTTAACCCTCCCCTCTGTCTCTCCTTCATTACTATTCATTGTCTCCGGTGCTTTTGACACTTCTTTTTTTATTGTACTTTTTCCCCTTCCTGCTCCGCTCCGAGACAGCAAGCCTCAGCCCTAGAAAAGCTCCCTTGACGGGATTTATCTTCTTCACTCGAACCACGACTACCAAAAAAAAAACATCTGCGCATTTCTCAACTTTCCCCCACAAAAAAAAAAATCGCCATGTTCTCTTGTGCCAATTATCCTCGCGGTTGCCGCGGTCGCGTCAACTACCAGGGAGGCAAATGCTCTGACTGTGTGGTAAGTCGTCAGCCCTAAAGCGGACCTCCGCATCTCACTTGCAATCTACGTGAACCCCAACGCTAACATGGCGATTTACAGCAATTGAAGCTGCGTCGGCCTCTTTCAGCATCTCCCTTTGCCCAGCCCCGAGACTACCGGAGAGCCCTTCCATCGGAGATCCTCAACGACTCGCCATTCAAGGAGATCGAGCGCTCCCTATGACGACACGGCTACGATCCCATGGCGCTTTAAAATAGGACGGGCGCAGAGATCCCAAAGGATCACTGTGCATATTTCTAGGGGTCCTGCCGGCTGGGACCAAGCCCAGGGAATTTTTTGAGCCTATCTCGCCAACTCTTCGCTTCGCTTCTCGCTTACCATATGCGGCTTGATGCTCTCTGACTTGATGCATTGCTGGGAGTTTGATCGATCATCTATTATACCATGGAAGGGCGGCTTTATCGATTTTATTTATCCTGGCGGTCTGGCACTGTTCCACTCTCGTCCCCCATTCTTCCCCGTCTTTTTTCGCCAGGCAAAATTGCAGAGCGCGGGAAGGGCGGAGGGCGGTCGAGTAGGCTGGTGTACATGTGGGTTTGCTTCTTATTTAATCTCAGGAACGGCATTTTGGTTATCTATATTTTATTAATGGGCTACTGGGTGGATTGCCGGATGGTTATGATCTGGGCCCGGAAGGGGCCATGGCGAGAGAGAGAAAAAGAGAAAGCTGCTTGGGCTCGACAGTCCAGGACTGCCGACAGCAGGAACGCGCACACACCGCTGGGAATCAATCAACAGTGGACGCAGGGGGTGCAGGCTGGATCTCTCTCTTTCTCTTTCTCTCGCCCGGCCATTCTTCTATTCTTTTTTTCCCTCTTCCTTTCTCCCCCCCTTCCTCGCTTTCTATACCGTCTTTGTCTGGTTCCAACACCTCCGTGTACCATTTTCTTTGTCATGTCATGTGTGCTCTGTAATATCGTTGGTCGATTTCCATACCCATTCGGCTAATTGTACGATTTATTATCCTCTTTTTTCAAAACAAAAAATCGAATAATGCATTTGCCCTAGGTATCTATTTCCTTTTGCTTTTCAACTTATTCAGTTCTATTTTCTTTAGTGCTGGAAGGCAGAAGAACGAAAAGCAACGAGCATGAAAGAAGCTAGACCTAAGTATTAGGGTGATGGATGATGATCGGCTGACAGTCCCGAACCGTCCGTCCACTTTACTCCTCCCTCGCAACTCCGGACTCCGGAATTGTATCTAATGCCTGCAGACCGTTGTCGATCCTTGGTTCTTGCTTTTTTGTCCCTTCCTTCTCCGTCCCATCTTCTTCGGTGTGACATCTGGGGAGAAGGAGAATGAGAATGGGAACAAAAACTTTGGGGCCAGACCCCTGCAGAGCGCGGATCCCGGATGTTCATCGCTTCAACCGGCTTACATGTACATGCCAGGCTGTCATACTTTCATTTTCTTCTACTCATCTTTAGATACTAATTACCAAGTAATTAGTTGCCTAGTTACTTACTTTGCCATCATGGTGCCGCTCATCACAACTTGTTGACCCTGGCGACCCGTGTGTATGTGTGTATTGTGTGCACGGTCACGGTGATTGACTATCTGACGTATGCTGGCCCCAGTCTTCCCGAGATGAAGCATAACGCGTCCCCCCTCCCCTTGCCCACTGGGTTGATCTGGATAAGTGGAGTGGGTTGGAACTTGGATGAGGGTGTGGCGTCGTCATCGTCATCATCATCCCAGCGCGGGAAGATTATTGGCGTCCGCTCGGCTATGATAGGCATCCGTGCTGGGATTTGTTGGCTGATAACTGTAGTGGTGGTGGTGATGTGGCTCGGCTTTGGGTTCCGATCTTATTACTACTTTTCTAGTGGATTAAATTGTATACTTATGTACTAGTTAGTGGTGTCTTGCTGTTTGGGTTGATATAAATATGTGAATGTGTCACTAGGCTGTTGCGTTTATAATGTGTACTCCTACTAGATATATATTTTCACATATACTTACTAGTAACTTAGGAATATTAAGAGGGTTGCTCACCTAATACTTCATGAAATTATCTGCTTCTCTCGAATAAGACCACACATCAATTCTACTAATTTAGTCATACTGTTGGATCGATCGGGTCCCACCAATGACAATTAATTAGTAGTAACCTGCCTACTAGTACATACTGAGTATGCACTGGATAATAATGAACAATTGGTCCATGCATTCATCTAGTACTAGTATTACCTGCTTACACTCACTGAAGAACCCAACTCTTCTTTTCTTCTTACTATGTACAGACAGAAAATGAAGATATAACTGACGGGACATGGTATATATCGTCGATAAGGCCATTGTGCTGGCACAGAACTGTTTGCAAGCTGGAGTTATACTAGATGCATAGCCTCCGGGCTGTGCACTAAATGCTACTTTGAGAGTGCTGGGTTATCGGAAGGTTAGGCATGGCTTTTTCTGATACTTCACCTACTGGTTTCATTGTCCATACTATAGGTGTCAAACATGTCATTACCCTATCATACTATGAAAAAGGGCTATATGGGGAGGCTTGCAGACCATCAGTTTCTAATCCTCCGATAACAGCTATTACGGTTCAATGGCAAGCCATTTGTGTCATGCAGTGATTGTGATAGCAGTGGTAGGGACAGTGCAAGTGCAACCATCATGTCCATATTCGGCAGGAACTCGTGCCTTCCCTCTGCTCTACCGACATAGACATCCACCTTCTCTGATAACTGCCCCAGATGAGAGTATTACCTTTACATCTCTACCGTCCACCTCTTATACTTCCTCACCGAATACATCCTCCATTGGTCGTCTATATACACCATGGAACCCCTGCGAAGATCGCAATCGTCTCGGTCCATGAGAAGAAGCCATCACAGTTCCCAATCCACTGAACCTTTCGACCCAGAGCTCGCTAGATTCCAGGCTACTACAGCTGCATCTCGAGCGATGCTGCGTTCCAAGTGCTCGTATGATGTTCTCGGTGGCCCAAGTCAAATGGCTGTACCACAGAGGCAACATCGCCCTGCAGGTGTTGCACTCAATTCTACCAATGCTTCCGCTGAGAATGAAAATCATCGTCAATCTGTTCTCGACAAGGCGGGCGATCTATCCCCTCCAGCTGGTCTACCGTCTATCAAGGAGTTTGGAGGGTTCGATGCCGGGATCGCTACTTTGCCTTCTTCATATCGGCGGCTCCGCAAGACCCGATCGATGTTCACGAATTGGCAGCGCTCCTCCCATGTATCTCGTGGACTGGCCTCACCTGGATGTCCGAGCATTAATTCCCCGCCAAAGAGAGAGCCTCAGGATATTTCACGCGCTCCTGGCACGCTGAGGCGCTCCATGTCATTCTTCCGAGGGGACACTCGAGATTCTGATGCTCTCCGATGTGCTAAGGGTCAAGAGGCAGCGATTGAATTGGCACGCAATCACTACCAGCAGCCAGAAAATTATCAGCCTGAACCACGTAAATCATCACTAGTCGTTCCCAAGTCAAGGCGAGAGCACAAACCCTTCAAGAAAACACTCCGTTCAGGGGTATCAGACGCAGAGCCAGCAAGCGTGTCGCCGGCAACGCAGCGGTCCACTAACGTCATATCCTACGGCAAAGCTAGATCACTGTCGTCGTCCCTCAAGAAAGGAATCAAGAAGGTGTTTGGATTCTCCAGACCATCCTCGGCCCGTGTGTCTCTAGGGAAATCTCCCTCAAATGACCAACAACGGACACAGGGGTCGCACTCGTCAATATCCGAAAAGCAATCCGATCTCTTGAAGTCTGGCATCGAGGACAGCGTCCTTATCCACTCACCAGGTACCGAGGGAACTGTGATATATACAGGAGTCAAGAAGTCTGGAAGCTCTGAGAGCCTTGCCACAAGTCGCTCTCGCGTAACAAGCTGGGCGGACTCGACGATAGCAAACACTGTAGTAACACATAGAGCAGACGACCATAGCTCTTTGTATGTTATAGACGAACAAGACAGCTCCGTCCTCAAGCCGGGCTCATCCGAAGATGCTTCACTGGCCACTCGTCGTACTCCAAAGCCTAACTGTACGATAGACAGTCAGCGCTTGTATTCAGCGCTGATGAGGCGCATCGATGGGAACAAGACGGAGAATGCAAGCGAGGAAATCGTCCTTGGCCACGTCAAGGAACATCGCGCAATTCCGACACCTGTGTCCTCAATGTACACTCGCCGTAGTAAGAAGACAATTCGTTTGATCGCCAGCGATGAGTCACTTCAGAGCCCCGGTTCCTATACGACAGCTGATGCGGGCACAGTTACGCCCTGCGAAACAGTCCTATGTCAGGCTCAGCGCACCCACGGCCAAAAGCACCTGCAGGGAAATTATACTGATTCTTTTAACCTGGCATCGTCCAAACACACCATCAAGGAGGCTTCTAGAGACGGGACTGGAAACGTGGCTATGGGAAGGTCTCAGAGCCCGGAGGAAAGCGAGGATTCTCCAAGTAATTATTCTCGCTCAACAGGTGGAAACTCGCCCAGCACATTAGACCCGAAACAGGGTGAGTGTGACCCTGAATTGGCGAATGAACCGGGTGTGGCCACCATATACGCAAGTCAGCGGGCGATCTATAGCTCGCCAAAGCGTGATACTGGCCAGGGTCCCGATGCGATGCAACGACCGAGTGGGGATTGGCAGCAATGGATGCACACGCAAATGGAGCGAATTGAATGCCTTACACCCACCAGGCGTCCTTATCGAGAAGATGCCCAAATCCAAGACGAAACAGCGGATTTCGCTTACCGAACCCCATCTCGAGACAGACGAGGCTTTTGGAGTTCATCACCAGACGAAGACCTGTGGACGACCTGCAAAGTGACAGCCAGAAACAACTTCTCGCGTCCGTTCAGTCGGTCATCGAGTATACGTACCACAATTATTGCCCCGAAGGAGCAACCAGATACTCTGGCTCCACCTCCGCTGCCGGCGGACTTGACCCCTAAGGTATCAAGCAGCTCCAGCGGGCATAGCTTGTTCATTAATCAGGTCGAGACACGGCCTGATGGTATGGCCTTGTCACCAGTACCTGCGCTATTGAATTATCGATATCGAGCCCCAGAGTCCCCGACTCCAAGAAGAGATGCAACGGACAAAGCCCGGTGGAGAACAGGGGGTAGAGGATATGGGAGACAGCCTTCCAGATTGGATTCGAAGGCCTCCCAATTCAAGACTTCACGTGCACCTTTTGAGAATAGAAGATGGACAGACGAGAATGTCCGTGTCGAGAGTGGGTATCACGAGGTCACTAGCCAGGACAGTCAATTGCAGAACATGTACTCGCCCATTTCGAGTAAACGCATGGTGGATATGTTTCTGGAAAGTCGCCGACGACGAATGGGCACCGATATACCAGACGGAGCACCATCCGAGGGTGCGTTCATTTAGTCGGCGAGCAGGAAGTCTACATTAGCGAGTGTTCTACTAGGAATGGGTTATCTGTATCTTTTCGGTTATCCTTTTGGTCATGACTTACGTTTTAAAGATTGAACAAACACCGATTGTGGCAGATGATGAGACAAATCAGTCTAGTAATAGTGTGTATGACAGAACTTATACCAAGTCATTGCCCAATGACTCGCTTCTATATGAGTATTTGCCCTCTTAATCAGAGAAGACAATCCATGTACAGTGTATACACCTTATGATCCACTCCCCAACCACTATAACCCCCCAACAAGGGGAAATGCTATCAAGATATTAACTACTAAATATGAATAAATATGTGGATTACATTTGACTCTGTCAATCTTCCCCTAACCCCTACCCACCACACAACCCATCCTCCCAGCTATGTACTTCATCACCACCAGAAAAACAATCACTCCACATAATTCGCCGGAAAACTCCCCTTCACCCCGCGCAACTCCCCCTCCCACCAATCATCCGTACTCTCCGTCTTCTTCAAGACCCGGATGCGATCTCCCTCCCGGAAGGCCAAATCTCCAGCACTTTGACCTCCAAAGTCATACAGGGCCGTCACGTACATGGCATTGTTCGAGTTAGCCCGAGGTGGGGGCGGCGGCGGGGGCTTCTTTTTCCCGGCGACCAAGGCACTCACGCCGGGGGAAGTTGCTCGGATGGCGCTGGATGGGGTGGATGAGGGCTGGATGCGGCTGAAGTAGTCGGCGCGGGCGGCGACGGAGGATGAGGGGCCTGGGGATGGGGTGCGGGCGTGCTCGGTTGCGGAGTAGTAGGATTCGGTGCCTGGGGAGGAGGATGGTTGTGGGGAGAGGTGGTAGCTGGAGGGGATGGTCAGGTTGTTGTTGGATGCTGAGGAGGCTAATCGGGGTTTGGTTTCGAAGACGGGGGATGGTTTGGTGTCGTAGGATGGTTTGGGGGGTGGGGGGAGCTTTTTGTTGCTGATTGCTGTGGCTGTCGCTGTAGCAGAAGGTGAAGTGGGCCGTGGGGGCTTGGGTGGAGGGGTCTCGCTGTTTGAGTTTGAGTTGGAGGGACGACGGGAGAAATGGGATCCGTTGATGGCTGGGAGACGGCTGGTGAGGCGGGAGGTTCGTGATTCCTCGGGGACTTGGGACATCTTCACGGTTTTGCCGTTGACGATGCAGCCGAATGCTTCGACTTCTTGTTGGACGGGGAGGTGGTCGCGTTCCCATTCTTGGATGACTTGCTCCATGGGGGGAGCCGGGGAGGGGAATTGCGTCTCCTGGCAGTAGTTGTGGACTACGGTATAGTAGTTGGCGAGCATGGTGTTTTGGATCTCAATCTGTGTGGCGAGCAGACGAGGAAGTAGCGAGAATGCAGCGGCGATCAAAGGTGGTAGGCATTCTCGCAGGTGGTCGTCCGCTGCGTGGTAGTCCTGCGACCGTTAGAAACTAGTTATAGATAAATTGATGGTAGGTGGCACGTACCTCGGTCGCTTTGGCAAGGTCACTCTCTGCCTTGGCAAGGGCTGCATTGTCCCGGTCTGATCGCTTCGTCTTTTTGGCATAGCTGTCTACGCGCCCTTGGTAGCGCTCGAAATCCAACTAGAATGGGAACATGATTAGCATGTAATGGTTGCATTGATGGGCGGGTTCCTGAGCGGGAGGCCAGGAACGGGGTTCCTATGGGTCCCCCATGCAAGATAATACGTACCTTTCGATCATCTCGCTTTTTGATGGTCTTCTTGACTGGACTTATGAACTCCCTAGCTTGCGACGCTGGTCGGATCATGCGATCATCGATGGCAGCCAGGTCCCCTAGTAGATCTTTCCGGAGTTCTTCATAGTGCTCGCGGAGCTTGTTGGTCCGAGCCAGGGTGGCCTGTGGGGTTAAGGCAGGCTGTGGCGCAGAAGAATCGGAGGAGCCGAGGATGGGAGCATAGAGGCCTTCAAACTCGCTCAGCATTCGATTTTGGTGCGTCAAGAGAGACGACCAAGCATCGCGCCATGCGCTGGTGGAATCGATGATCTGTTGGAATGCGGAAGAATTGCTGTCAGTTCCAAGATACGGAAGGATATCAACAAATCACACCCCGCAGGAGAAGTGCACACGCTAAAGCATGATGCTGGGAAAAGAAATTATAATATAAGACTTACTCGTCCCAAGATCTTGTCTGCTTCTTCAAAATCCTTGAGCAGAATTGCCACCTGGCTGTCATCGGCCGACCGTTTCATCAGTCGGCCAAATTGCCTCTGCATAGACTGCATGATGTGCCAATTGAGCCCCTCAGTGGAGGGGAAGACGGGAGGAGGAGAAAGGGAGAAATGCGGAGATTGGGACAGACAGGGCGGGGAATTTGTGATTAGGATGGAGGGATAGTCATTGGCGAAGAAGGAGATTCAGGGACAAGGAAAGGGATTGAAAATGACCGCGGAATCAGGAGAAGTTTAGAAACAGGAGGGGGAGAAGAAGAAGAGAGAGAGAATGAGGAATTGTGGCATTGCTGGAAAAGGACTCATTTGCGCGTGAGAACTAAGCCCAGCCGCGCATGACGCAGCCCCCTCAGAGGGGCCGTTGCTACTACTTTTGCTGCTGTTGCTGCTACTGCTGCTTTCCCCAGCAAAAGGGTAAAAAAAGAGGGTCTCAAGCGTGTTTCAGCCTTCTGGCTGGATGGGCTGACGCAACGCTATTTTTGTCGCGAATAATGTCTTTCTTTCTGCGGTGGGAAAGTACCTTGTCGATCAGGTTCAAATGAATGGATTTCTCTGGCGATTTCCAGGGAACGGACCAATTCCAACTAGTCGATGCACTACCCTGACGCTAATTGATATGCCAGATATTGCTACTTTGTATGTGGTGGGAATGCTATCTATCTCTCTATGAAGTGTAATGCCAACCTCCTTAAACATGCTCTCTATAGCTTCTGCCGCGCGGTCCTTGTAATTAAGGATACACCTCGTGGGATGAATTGCGCAATTGTCTCCAGTAACCAAGTGGTACCGCCAAGACAGACTCTGTTGCAGCCAAATAGAGAATAATTGATGACAGGGAATGGGTGCATTGCTGATATGCACGTCAAACAATCAATAATGCAGATTGACTAAAAAGCAATACATAACTACTTGCCTGAGGCAGACATCCCGTCTCCGCGGCTCAGTTCCGCCAATCTTCTCGACTTTCTTCCCCGCAACAACCATTCCCTCTCTCACATTACATGGTGATCAGACACAGGGCCACCGATCAAGGGCCCTGTTTCTGTCTCAACCACCTCCCACTCACACCAAAATGGCCACCCCACGAAGTACCCCCAGTATGAACGTCCCCGCGACCCAAAACACCGCACCGGTGATCCGCTTCCGCTGTCTCTACACCTATGACATGCGACGCAAAGCCAAGCGCTGGCAAGATGGCTTCCTCCGATACCACACCTTCAACAAACGCATCATGGTATACGATGTCGCCGGTAACTACGTGGGCGATCACCACTGCCGACAGGATGAGGGCATCCAAGACGGTGACGAATTGGAGCTGGACAACGGCGCCCTGATTGAAGTTTGCGAACCGGTGGAGAGAACGGAGACCGACCTGTCGGGCTTGCATAGTAACAAAAGAAAAGGTCAAGGCTCGCCGTCTCAACGACCCGGAGGAACGCCAACCCCTACAACAGTCGTCTACAATTCCTCTACGCCCGCACGTCCTTCTTTGCCCTCCCAGCAGAAACCGACCCGCTCCCTGAATGATCTTCTGGGTATCAAGAAGACTCCGACTCCGACACAGCGCGCAGGTTCGCCTCAGACGGGTCCTAGACAAACCCATACATTGCCGGTGAATGGGAAGGAGAACGAGCAGTTGGATTACCCTGCGAAACGAAAAAAGACAGAGAGCGCGTCCGAGAAGGTCGCCCGTCGGCGTGAACCAGCAAACATCGACTTGACGGGAACAGAACCAGAACCGGAGACATCCAGAAGACAGACAGAAACAACATCAGTCGTACACTCGAGAACAACCGACCAAAACAAACACACTACACCCTCTTCCGTCCCCCACATCAGACCCTCGGAACGGTCCAACAATATACCCCAGCGAAAGCAAACCGCTCCCAATCCTCCCAGACCACGAGAACAACCCCAACCCCAACCTCCAACACCAGAACCAGAACCAGAACCACCAAGAAACAACGACCCCCAAGCCAACTTTCTCCGTCTCCCCAGCAAAACCAAACCCTCTCGCAAGAAACTCATGTACCATACCATCCTAGCTCAGCAGCAGCAACAACCACACCAACAACAACAGCCACAACCACAACCACAACCACAATTAGAGTCAGTATGTACCAAACCCTCCAAAACCGAACTGACCAAACTGACCATCACCTCATACTAGAAACGACAATGACAACGACCCCATAGTATTATCAGATGACGACGATAATGATAACCCACCACCTTCGTCCCCTCCGCGCCCGCAACACAACCCTACCACCACCACCATCCCTAGAACAACTACACCAAAACCACTCCCACCCCTGCAAACCGGAATAGAGCGCAGAACCTCCTCTCTCCAAAAAGCACACTCTGACCCTACAGCCTTTACTCGCTTCAACGTGACCACCAACAATAACAATACCCGTACTCCCCTACAACAACATCGTCCCACTCATCGCCGTCGAGCATCAGAGAGCGGTAACAGCCCTCTAGATACAACTGACAACAACAATGCCAACGAAGAAGAACCAGAGACCGATGGTGGCCCATGGACATGGGAAGCTCAGTATCTGTTCGACTATTGGCCGGCTGGACGGGCGAAGCCGACTAGGACTTGTTAGTCATGACACTTTCCAGTTTTTATACTGGTGATTGATAGATATGTTATGACCTTAATTTATATATGATACCCTTAGATAGTTAGTTGAGAAATAGTATTTATGAGGATTGAAATGACGAAATATGCTTGATGATGATAGTAACAGTAATGTCTGTGACTTCAAAAGGGGTGCTGGTAAGCTACTAAGGCTAGACTTAATTACCGTTTAGTATCAATTCATCTCTCTACGACTGGCTAGCAAAATCCCTCAATCTCACACACGATCTTTGATTATCACAAGGGTAGTTAACCTAATCAATTTCCCCAATGTAAAGAACACACCAGAAAAACGACTCATGGATACTAACCGACCAACCAATCCCATTGGCACATGCGAAGCTAACCAATTGGATGCAATTGGTCGACAAAAAGGACAACCCGCCATCAAAATCGCAACCAATTTGAGTTCACAAAAAGGGGACAGGGGGAGAAATACAGCTTCGATCGTACACAAGTGCAATCCAGCACAGGTAAATGCACAGTATCTTGTTAATATAGAAAAATGAAAGATGTTGAGGCAAAAAAGAACGAAATATTTGTGGCAGACGGCAATCAAGCCAAGTGGGTAATGAGTGGTCCAAGTTCACAAGGTAGTAAGTATGTTAAGCTCACAGCTGAGTAATCAACATAGGAAACATATGGATAGATGGATGGTTTCGTGCGAAAACAGCTCGCAAATGAATGACAACAAAAATGATGGGGGCACAGGAGAGGGGAGATGAGGTCAAGCCCCAGAGATTAAAAGGAACTAAAGTATAGAAACTGGCGGCAGTGAGGAATGTGCCCATCAGAGGGTATGCAAACTCGCGGCTAAGCTGATCCAGACGCTGATTCTGCGCTCATAAACACCAAATGAACATGATGAGGTGCCAAAATATGACTATAGTGATAATGCAAAAGAGGCTCATGCAAATGTTTAACACCATGGGAAGAAACTAGAGGAAAATCGCCAGGTAGGCCTAAGGGCCACGGCTCAGTAGATTGCTCTCGATGACGGTTTCAGTGATGGGAGTGGATTCGGTTGACACGGGGGCTGTATTTGCTGGTCCTCGACAGCGCGCCGACATCATGCTTGCCTGTTTCCAAGGTCATTAGCTTTTTGTTATGATGGTAGGGCAACGGAATCGCAAGATCGGGGGGCAAAAAACTTACCATCGCAGCAGGCCCGCACATTCTCGAGCCGATCATCCTGTCTTTCCATCATCTGCCGCAGATCTTCCTCGCTGTCATGTGTATGAAGGCTTCCTTCATGCATGCTCGAGGTAGCATAGTTAGGACCCTTTCGGCCGAACGAACCCTTGATTGTGGTGTTTAAGATTGTACTAAGACGGGAGGAAGAGCCGTGTCTCTGATCCGAGTAATGAGACGGCGTACTCAAGGCCGGGGAACTACGACCAGGGGTGGCCGCCCGACGATTTGACAGGATGGATCCTGCACGTTGCTTAGGCCAGTTCCGGCTTGTACGACTCCGAGAAGACGAGAATGACAGCCGGGAGGTCTGACGTGACCGTGAGCGGAATCCGGGGTTGAATTCATCAATGTCTTCCAGTGAAGCATCGCCCTCCTGCTCCTCACCGTTTTCCGTCGAGTTACGCAACAGCAGATACGAGAGAGCATTGAACCAAGTCTCGTGTCTCTGACTAGTAGTGGCAGTGAACCTGATCCGGCGGCCCGGGCTAACCACTTCGAGACTCTTGCAATGAAGACCGGGAGGATAAGGATTGTCATCTGGAACAACTCTGACAGCTTCAATCAGAACACTCTTGGTGCGGAGTTCACTCTTGCCAGCACTCTGTGGATCTTGTTCGCTCCAGTACAACGTGCGCGTGTACGGGTGGAGCCAGAAGTAGCGGCGATGCCTCGAGTTGGAGATTTCCCCGGACACGGTCTTGCGGGTGTATTTCCACAAAAACTCGCCGATCATAGTCTGTGTGATTGCCTGGATCATTCGCGGATCTGTACCGGCAGCATAACCTTGAGGGCCGAGAGCTGGGTTTGGATGGCCATTGAACCGTTCTTCAATCTCAGAAGCGAAGGATGACACAGACGATCTCCGCGACACATGGCTCTCGCGCCTCACCTTCATCCGTGACGTTGTAGTTGCGGTTCCAGGTTGAAGGTTGGAGTCATTGGGAGTCCGTGGACGCTGAGCTACATTCGTCCTGTAGGCAGACGCTGGGGCAAGAGGCGGGCCCATCAGGCTTGGAGAAGAGGGGCGTAGGTCCAACGATCTCTTTTCCGCTGCCATGATGGCCTCCCTATGATCCACGGGCAAGGGAGGATGGCTCTGGATGCTAGAAGTCTGGCTAAGAGCACTTCCAGGCCTCTTGTGAGACGGAAGAGACGTTGCGGAGGGTTGGTGAGTCGGGCGAGTCCTTGCCTTCGGCGTGGCAAAGGGAGAAGAATTCTGCTCCTTGGCCTTGTCGCTGTCTGGAGGAGACAATGGCCGGGCCACAATACGATCCATCAGAATCTGATCAATTTGCTTCGACGACAGAATCGTCTGGGCACCCTGATCTGCGCGACTGGAGGACGAATGCTTCCGCACGTGGCGTGGGACAGCGTTCCCGGAAATGGCACTCAAGGGGAGCGACTCATCCAACTTGATGTTGGCTGCACTGTTGACTGTACTATCATCCAGGGTATCTTCAGAAACCACAAGCGAAGGCGGTTCCATCATCGAGCTGCTATTAAGCGACTTGTCATTCAACTCTGGAGCCGCGTTCTCGTCAGGGAATTGAAGCACGGGAATTGCAGGTGGCGGGGGGGTGGATTTGACGGGCAGGGTTTCCACGGAGCTGACAGTGGACAGTGACACATGTGACACCATAGGGACTGGCAATTCAGGCACCTGTGCGGGCATCGGCTCAGTGCATTGGGAGGCCGTAGAAGAGATGGCAAGGTTAGGAAGCGTTGGCTCGGGTACAACGGCATCGATAGGCTCTGTCTGTTGGGAAGAAATGGAAGAAAACACGAGCTCAGCCTTGGGCGCCATTTGCTCCTCAACGGCGACTACAGGGGTGATCTCCCTCGGTTCTGGGATAGCCGCTGCCGGCTGTGTCTGCTGAGCAAAGATTGAAGACAGAGCAATCTCCGGGCACTCTGCTTCCACGTTTGCAAGCGCGACTTCTGGGGTTGACTCCACGGGCTCCACAAGGGCTTCAACAGGTTCTGTATGCTGCGACAGAATCGTTGACAGAGACACCTCGGGCATATCGGTACTAGTGCCTTGCTCGGACAACAGAACTGGGGGCGCGGGTTCTGGAAGAGCTGGCGCGACGGGCAGTGTACACTGGAAGTCGATCGCCGAGACGGTCATATCTGCCACGTATGCAGGCTCAGGCTCAGGAAGTTTTGCCTCAGCCGGTGCAGTCAACTCTGAGCAAATGGCTGACAGTGTAACCTCCGGCGGTTCGGGAACAGCGAAGGCGACGGGCTCCGTGGTACCCCCAACAGCATATGAGGTGCTCAATTCTGGTAGCCTTGGTGCCACAGGAACAGTCTCCTGGAAAGAAACTGCAGAGACATCCGTTTCCATAACAGGCATCGGTTGGCCGACCGGTTTGACATCTTGAGCATCTACAACGACCTGGTCCTTCTCCATTTCTGCCTCGATGGGAGTCCATTGTGTTCCTGCGTGTGTCAATTGCGGCGGTACCTCTACCTCGGTCGCGGTGCTGGCATCGGACATAACTGTCTTTGTGGGAGTTGTAGGCAAACCACGAGCCTCCTCATCGTTCGTATCCTGGAGGCTAGTTGTCGTCGCACTTGTGGGGACCCAAGGATCAGTCATCATGCCAGAATCAACCATAACAGGCTTGGGAACCGCGTCGAGTATAGCCTCCGAAGGTCGCCTGGAGTCAGGGGTAGGCAGCATGCGTGGGGTTGAGGACTGCGAGCCAGTAGCGAATCGCATAGAGGGGCCAAAGGCACCCTCATCTTCCTCTCCGTCTAGTTCCGCAAGCTCCATAAAGAGACTCTGACCCTCAGAAGATGGCAAGCCTTGAGTGAAGCTTGTCGCGGGGGACTCTCGCGCACTTGACGGTCGGCTACCAGAAGCCATTGGGGCTTCTCCTGAAGGACGAATCTTCCTCATGACGCTCCTCTTCTTCCTCAGGCGGTATCTAGGCGAGGACATTTGGCTTGGCGACGGGAAGCCCTCGTCGTAATCCTCGTCTTCATCTCCTGAAGTAGACGCAGTACTCTGGTATGAGGTCCTATCGCGGGCTTTCGTCAATGTCAAGGAAGACACTCTTCCGCGCGGTGTCCGCTGCAATTCCTCGGTTTCCGTGAGCTCATCGGTATCAGTGCTATCGTCAGCCATGCTTTCAATTCCGGTCTGGAAAGCTTCGCTTTCGGTTGCGGTTTCTCGTTCGTTGGCCGTCTCAAAGTGGTCGTCGGCTTCGGTGGCAGTCTGGTACGCATCGCTCGGTTCGTCGGACGATTGTCCTCCTACACGGCCTTGGTGCAACTTCATGGAAGGCTTGTGAGACGGGCTGGCTTCGGTGGCATTGTCTTCCCAGTCCGAATCCTGGATCTCGATCTCTGCCCTCTTCCGTCCGGCACCCAGCAAGTCGGGCCGAGGAGCTTTCCTGGCGGCCTCAGCCTTGGTCTTCTGGCGCTTGCTTGACGGGTTAGTTGGGGCAGCGGCTTCGCGGCGACGCTGTTCGATCTCATCACGAGCTTCTTGCAGCATACGCTTGAGATCAATCTTTTCGGTCTTCTCGCGATGAATAGTGCTTTTGAGATTTTGGATCATCCGATGGGCATGACCCAGTGAACTCCGCAGCGTCTCGGTTTCCAGATGGTTGTGTCGAGGCGTGAATTTGTTGGGCGACGGGGGAGGGGAGTTCTCTGGCGTGGACTGGTCTTGATCATCCGATTCATGGCCACGAGAAACCTCGCGAGTGGATTCTGCTTCGTGTTGACGAATGCGCATTGCCACTGCTCGCGCGAGTTCTTCGTTCTGCGAGTTGAGCTCCTCCACTTTCTTTTGAAGAGCAAGCTTCTCGGCATCTCCAGCATTGAGGTTTCTTCGCAGGAGATGG